CTATATAGTTACGTAGTAATATACTATACTATTATATATATATATATATATATATATATATATATATATACACACACACACACTTACAAGAACGAATTTTTATAGTATTTCACTCATAGCTCATCACCATTCAAAGTCTATCATACAGTCACAGTTGTCTGATATTATATGAATTTTAATAGTCTAACTATATATCGGATTCCAAATTTCAGGTCAACCTTACAGCACATTTTTTGAACCGTCTATTTTCAAGATTTTCATATGTTTATGGATCTACTTGATTTGGACCATTTTTTAAATTTAAAATTCTATAATTAAATATGAAATTAGATATGAAACTGCATTCTCAAGTTATCTATGAAACTGCATTCTCAAGTTATTATATCAAAATCACATTTGTGATAAAATTTAGGGGTGCTCCTTAATTGAAATGTTTAAGGTAGCAACCTTATACAAACCACATCCAAAGATAAACAGTCTCTTAGTAGAGAATCCCGTATTTCATTGGGCGGTAGTTTAAAGTTGCACCCCAAATATTGCAGGAAAAATGTAATTCTAATGCCAAAAAAAACCTATTTTTACTGATTTTTTAATGCGTCCTCTTTTGCACCCCAAATATTGCACCCCTACCTGTCTTAAAGAGTTTCCTCTTTCTTTTCTTTTTTTATGGGTGAGCCGCTACCCGTTTCTTGAAATCATTACCGATTTTTTAATGCGTTAGGTGAAAATGAAAGCCTAGAGGCAAGTGCATTTCCAACTAGTTTAAGGTGGAGCATTACAATTGGTAACTCCCATGTTAGCCCCAAATTTCAGATTAAAAACCCAAAATTCAGATTAAAAAGTCCTCCCATGTTAGCCCTATGCCCAAGGTAGTAAGTGTACAATATATGATCTCTTGGGAGGAAAGCATACACACTAAAATCTTAGACTCCACAATTAAAATTTTCATTCACATGGAATCTTTCTCTCTTTATATTAATTTTCATTTGATTGAGAGGACGGGGCATTTTGAAAAATGGCTTGAGACATCCATATGGATCTAGCACTAATAAATTATATAAAGAGACCATTTAGAGGTCACAATCAGGCATATATCTATCAAGTTTTCAATCGGGTAGTTGTATGTATGTCATTAACTAGATTGAAAGTTCTATTCTTTTTTTTTTTTTAATTTCACAACATAACCCAAACTTTTCGATTTGACATCTACCTGCTAAAATTGATAGTGACCTATAACAATGGTAAATGGTCTCACAATATACCATCCTCTTTCTAATTCATGCTAGATATCTAATTCATGCTAGATACACATAAATCAAGACCTATGCATTGCCTGTAGTCAAGTATCCCAGTAAGAAGACTAAAACCAACTAAAAGGCATTCCAATGAATCAACACACCTGATATGATCAATCACCTGGTTTTGACTTTACAAA